TGATATTTTCACTTCTTGTAAAACCGCAAGTCCAATTGCTTTGATATTCCATACATAGGTACTACATGTGGACCACTCTCAAATTTGTTCATTTTGTGATGATATCTTTGATTCTTTAATTTTGGTGAATATTTTTGCCATTTTTGGTAAAAAATGATATTTTTGACTTCTTGTTAAAAACCGCAAGTCCAATTGCTTTGATATTACATATATAGGTACTACATGTGTACCTCTCTCAGATTTGTTCATTTTGTGATGATATCTTCGATTCTTTAATTTTGGTGAATATTTTTGTCATTTTTGGTAAAAAGTGATATTTTCGACTTCTTGTTAAAAACTGTAAGTCCGATTGCTTTGATATTACATATATAGGTACTACATGTGGACCTCTCTCAGATTTGTTCATTTTGTGATAATATCTTCAATTCTCTAATTTTGGTGAATATTTTTGTCATTTTTGGTAGAAAATGATATTTTCGACTTCTTGTTAAAAACTGTAAGTCTGATTGCTTTGATACTATACATATTATTCATTTTCTAATGATGTCTTCAGTTCTTTAATTGAAATGTGCATTGCTAACAGCGGAGCTATCTCAGCCGATAGGCTGCTTGTTGTTTCAGGCTGTGGTTTACCTGATCACTCCGGCAATGGCAAGGCTGTGGCCCTGGAGGTTTTTACTCCTATGGGGTCCGTTGTGGGTCCTCCTGTGGACCCGTCCTCACATGGCGCAGGGTTTGCCCCTGAGATGAGGGCTTGGTCGAAGGACTGTCTGGACAAATTGCATCCCTGGCAGGCCGTGTAGATCACATGCAGTTGGAGCGAGCTGTCTCCACTGTGGTCCCTGCGTCAGCAAACAAGAAGAAACACAAAGGGCGTGTTGCGCATTCTAAACATGTCTCTTCCCGGGAACCCCCCATTTCCAGCCACGTCTCACCCGTTAATTGGAATGAAGGCTCAGGCTTGTGGCACCGGGTCTCCATCGAGACATCAAGCACTGAATACTAACAGGGATGCTTTCGGGGCAGAGAAATTTTGACAGGACGCACGTTGTCCTCCCTGTTGTACCGGTGTGAAAGTAATGCTATATCATCTGCATAATCCAAGTCTTTCAAGACTGAGGTGAGGGTCCATTGGATTCTCTGCGCTTTCCTTTAGTGCTACATCGCATCACCCAGTCAGTTGCCAGGGAGAACAGTAGAGGTGATAGAATGCATCCTTGTTTAACTTCGGTTTCTACCCTGAAAGGTTTGGTCAGCTCATTGTTGTGGATGACACAGCATTCAAAGTTCTTGTAAAGAGACTGGATCGTGTTGACCAGCTTCTTTGGAATACCGTAGTGTCTCAGGATCATCCAGAGTGAGTTGCAATGATCGAAGTCTGTCAAACGCCTGCTTGAAATCTATAAATGTAATGTAGAGTGAGCTATTCCATTCACTTGATTGCTTCAGTATTTGGCGCAGAACAAAGATGTGATCTATGCAGGACCTTCCTTTCCTGAAACCTGCTTGTTCTTCTCGTAGTATGGTGTCTACTGTTGCCTTAATATGTTGGAGAATGACGTGGCAGAAAATTTGGCTTGTGAGCGAGAGTAGGGTGATGCCTCTCCAATTGTTGCAGTCCCCAAGGTTCCCTTTCTTGGGTAGTTGATGATACCTATTTTCCAGTCATCTGGTGCTGTCTCACTGTTCCATATGTCCTGGAGGATGTGAGGTGTGTCTTTATCTTCCACCTTCAGCATTTCTGGACATATGTCATCCTCTCCTGGGGCCTTTCCATTCTTTAGTTTTCGGATGGCCTCTTTGACTTCCCCCACTGTTATTTCTCCCATGTTTATATCTAGGTCCTCTACTGCTTCAGTGATATTAGCAACAACCAATGGATCTGGCTGGTTAAGGATTTCCTGAAAGTGCTCTTTCCATCTTTCCAGCTTTGTCCGCTCTTCTGTGATCATGGATCCATCTTTAGCTTTCACTGGAATATCCTGGGAGTGACCTTGAACCCTGTGTAGTTGCTTGGTACACTGTTTTCATGTCTTGTTGATGAGCAGCAAACTCTGCTTCTTCTGCCAGCTCTTCTGTATAGCGATGTCCATTCGGTGATGTCCAGGTCAACTTGTGAATGTTTTTGTGTGCAAAGAGAGTGCCTCCAATGGCCAGGTCATACTCTTCACAGATACTGACAAGCCGTTCCCCATTGTTAGTGAGCTCACCTAGCCCATGCCTACCCATGATTCTCTCTCTGTTTGAATTGTTGTTGCCGACTCTTGCATTGAAGTCTCCCATCAGTATAAGGACATCGTGCCTTGGAATATTCTCCAATGATGCCTGGAGTACGCTGTAGAATTGATCTTTGTCATCCTCATCTGCATTTGAACCCTGTGTAGTTGCTTGGTACACTGTTTTCATGTCTTGTTGATGAGCAGCAAACTCTGCTTCTTCTGCCAGCTCTTCTGTATAGCGACGTTTGGTTCTCCTTGCTGCCCTTTTTACCTCCCAGTCCTCTCTATACTGGGAAGAAAAACTGTCTTTTAGCCTGAGTGATTTGCAGTCTAAGATTTTCTTTTTGAGTGACTTCCTTTTATTATTTCTTTTCAGGATTTTTGAGTTTTACAACATCAAAGCATTGGTTCCTGCTGTTCCCAATTTTGGCCTTCCTTAACTTGAGGTGTACTTTTCCACCTACAAGGTTGTGGTCACTGCCAACATCTGCATTGCGCATCACCCGTACATCTTGTAGCGAGCGTTTCCACTTGTTATTTATGATAATGTGGTTCATTTGGCTTTTTGTCATCCCATTCGGTGATGTCCAGGTCAACTTGTGAATGTTTTTGTGTGCAAAGAGAGTGCCTCCAATGGCCAGGTCATACTCTTCACAGATACTGACAAGCTGTTCCCCATTGTTAGTGAGCTCACCTAGCCCATGCCTACCCATGATTCTCTCTCTGTTTGAATTGTTGTTGCCGACTCTTGCATTGAAGTCTCCCATCAGTATAAGGACATCGTGCCTTGGAATATTCTCCAATGATGCCTGGAGTACGCTGTAGAATTGATCTTTGTCATCCTCATCTGCATTTTCAATGGGTGCATATGCTACTAATACAGATAACTTTGCGTATTTAGAGTTTAGCCTCGCATATACCGGATTCTGCCGTAAATTCTCCCATCCGAAAAATCGCCCTGGGCGGTTTCACGGCTGGTGGGCCCTTATTTGGGATTCAAATTTTCAAAAAATTATCATCAAATATGTTTAGGGAGGCTTATATTTTCATTGAAAACACCGGCAGTTGGACCACCCAAAACGAAAGAAACTTAAATTGTATACATTTAAGTAGACCGTGCATCATTCTCCAAAAAAATCACATTAACGAACCTCGTGCACCAAATACAATTATTAGTCCCCGTTCGGACGAAGTCCGAAAACGGGGACTTATAATTCGGTGTGCGTGCGTCCGTCCGGAATCATATCTCAGAATCCCTTGGACCGATTCCGTTCATTCTTTGCATGTGCCTAGTACTTTATGTGGGACATGTGCACATGCAGTGGTTTAGCGATTCGATTCAAAATGGCCGACTGGCAGCCATCTTGTTTTTTGAAAATGTTGTATTTTGGACATGCTTTGTCAGTTTTCATTCAAACTTGGTACATAGATTATACATGTTAGGATACATGTCCATGATGATTTATTTCACAATTGGATCAAAGATGGTCGACTGGCAGCCATCTTGTTTTTTGAAAATGTCGTATTTTGGACATGCTGTCAGTTTTCATTCAAATTTAGTACATAGATCATACATGTTAGGATATATGTCCCCGACCGTCCGTGAGTTCTTGAGGAAGTCCGTTCGACCGTCTGTGTGTTCGTCTGTCCGTGCGTCTGTCTATCCAATGTCATATTTCAGAATCCTGTGGACCGATTCCGTTCATTCTTTGCATGTGCCTAGTACCTTATGTGGGACATATGCACATTTGTTTTTTTATGCGGTATCTTGGATGTGCTCTGTCAGTTTTCATTCAAATTTGGCACATACATGTACTTTTACATGTTAGGATGCATGTCCATGACAATTTGTTTCAAAATCTGGTCAAGGATGGCCGATTGACAGCCATTGAATTTTTGGCCTTACTACTATATTTCCACAATTTATGTACCATTTTCATTCGTATTTGGCACATACATCCTACATATCTCTGTGTTTCATAATCAGATCAAAGATGGCTGAATAATGGCTGTTTTTATTTTGGCCATATTACTATGACACGAAACACGTGTTTTCATGTAAATAAACAATCTGTTGTATACGCCACTTGGAACTCAAGTTTCAAGGACACGCTTGTGACAACCCCTCCGCTTTAATATGACGAGCACAAAGAGAACTTAACGGGGACTGTGTCATTTTCAATGACTTGTTTTGTTTCATTTTATTAGTAACGAAAGTATATTCTAAGAGAAGTTTCAAATAACAACAAAAACAACTGCATTGCTTAGTAGCGAATTATCGTGGTAGTGCAATCCGGTCATGCTGCATTTTACAATTGTTGATTATTACCTAGTAATGATTATAGTAATGTGCAAAAAATAAATTTGTTGAATTGTTATGAAATGCAAATAAATTTCAATGTATTTCATCGTAAGCGAATGATTTCGATCGCATTTTCCATGCTCGATGCTGTAGAAATGAATATCTGCCACGTTTTGACCTGACATGACAGGTCAAATTGATAATTAACCAATGAAAACGATGGATGATGCCAACGTGTTCAAATTACCATAACAATTTAAATATGTTTAAAAATGCTATTGAACGTAGCATGGAAGAGATTTGCCGATGTTGTTGTACGATCTTTTGGCTTGGATTTTGATGGGAAAGTGGCATGATTTGTTTTAAAATAAAAAAATTAGTTGTTTTCAAAAGATAAACTGAGCATTTGAAGATTAATTTAACATTATTTACAGCGATAACAACTCATTGTCGAAACGAAGCTAGTCACAATAAACATCAATACTCTTGAATAGGCGTGAATGACTACGGCGAAACTTTAAGGCATCAGAAAAGATTAAAATAACACCTTAAAAACCTGCTGAAAAATCGCCCTGGGCGGTTTCTTGGTCCCAATTTATTTTTTTAAAAACCCAAACTGCCGTTTAACGACCCTGGGCGAATTTATGGCAGAATCCGGTAGTAGGCCTTCATTGATAGGTTTCCACTGTAGCAAGGTGTTGGCATGATTTGTGCTGATGATAAGAGCAACTCCCTCCTGGTGATTTTCATCTTTCCTTCCTGACCAGATGATAATTTCCCACGGGTTGAGCCTTTGCTTCCCTGTTTTGGTCCATCTTGCTTCAGTGACTCCAAGCAAGCCCAAATTATAAACATTCATCTCTCTTACTGTTTGTGCTAATTTCCCTGTCTGGTAAGGGTTTTTACATTCCAACATCCAACTCGGATGTTGCTTTTGGGCATCAGGATGTCTGCTGTCAAGCTGGAGATGTCCTTTCGGCTTTGGTCCCCCGCCGTCATACATCCAGGTACCTGGACAGCTTCAAAGTCAAAATATAAGAAGTCAAAATATGTGTCAGCAATTTTCTGTTAAATTCACGTAATAATCCATGAACGCATTTGTGTAGATTTCACAAAATTACTCGCCGTAAATATTTGCTATGTCTCGTAAAACATCAGAAGACTTTTATTATAATTATTTCCAAATAAAAACAAGCTTTAGTGCATCGCACTGAAATACAAACTCACACTCACTAAACTGAACTGTGTATCCCTGCTAAATCTAGGTCAGAAGTTCAAATATCTGTCAACGACTTTCTCTAAGTCACGTAATAATGACATTATTTCTATGACCACATGAGTCGATTTCAAAAAATTACCACATGTGCAAGTTCGTCAATATACATACACATATGAACGAACAGACAACTAGAAACTGTATGCAAAGATAGCTATTGTTATCAGCACAGGCCCTCTATCGCTTGAGAGTCTATTGTCCCAAGGCTAGTTGTGAAGCCAGGAAGCTACAAACAGAACAGAACACATTACTGGGATTCATCAAGATATGAACATCCAAAAAAAAAAACTAACCACATCACCAAAAAGTAAATGTACTTATCTATTCACATGAAAATATTATGTTTGAATGCTGTTTTCTTACTAGAAAAAATTAAAGTGAAAAGAGTTTTAGTGAACTACTGGCAACACAATCAACAAAATGTAGATGAAAGTGATGATCTATACTTTTAATAAACAAATGTTGAAAATAAAGTGATAAAGTCTATAATAGAGTTTGATGAAGAATCAATAAGAAATACTGAAGTTATAAACATAACGAATGAACAGGTTAAGGAAGCGATTTCAAATCTTAAAAATAATAAATCTGCTGGACCAGATGAAATTACTCATGAAATAATAAAAGGAGGTGAAGTAATGATTATATCATTGAAACATCTTTTTAACTTTTGCTTTGAGATAGAAGCAGTTCCAAAAAATTGGGGATTGAACATTATTATACCAATACATAAAAAGGGAGACACCAACAATTTGAACAATTACAGAGGTATTTCATTAAGCTCAGTTATTGAAAAACTGTATAATAGAATGGCCGAAAATGAATTGGACCAATTGATTGAACCAAGTAATATGCTGGGAGAAATCCAAGGGGGTTTTAGAAAAAACAGACGCACAGCTGACCAAATTTTTATTTTGAAAGGTACATGTATATCAACTATCCGTAAACTAGACAAAAAGCACACTTATCTTGCATTCCTGGACTTCAAAAAAGCTTATGACAGTATTTGGCGAGAAGGGTTGTGGTATGCCTTATGGAAAAATAGGATAAAGGGAAAACTATGGCGTGTAATAAAACACACTTATGACCACATAAAGAGTAAAATTTCATTTGGAGATGTTGAAACTGAATACTTTGACCAGAAGAAGGGTCTTAGGGAAGGTTGTGTCCTGACTCCAATGGAATTTGCAATTTATATAAATGAATTCAAAAAAATCCTGAATGATTCATCACTAGGCATAACAATACGTAATATACTCATTAATGGGTTTTTCTTTGCTGACGATGTGGCCCTTAATGCCCCAAATAAGGAACAGCTACAATCTATGTTAGAGATTGCAAACTATGGAAAAAGTCCATTATTGGGGAAAAGCAACCCTTGGAAATCATGGAAACATTATATGGGTTATCACTATGGAATAATGTAATACGCCCTTCATTAGAATATGCTGGTGAAATAGTAACGCCTAGTTTATCTGATATGGAGAGTTTGGAAAAACTGCAAAGAACAGTTGGATAATTTATACTGAAAAGTCAGTGAAACACTGCAAATGAAACTGTTCTTTGGTGATCTTGGGTTGAATACAATATAGATATAATGAGTTTAAAATATTATAGGAGACTGAATGAAATGAAAGAATCTAGGTGGACAAAAGTTATTTTTACCAAATTAAATGAGCTAAACCAAGAAACTGAACAACATAGAGGTTACATATTTTGGAACTGGCTAAATTATACAGATGATATAACAAAATATGTCAAAATAAACAAAAAACTGTTTACAAACTTAACTGATAAAAAATTAAAAACATTGGTTCTAAACCATGATGAATCCAAGTGGAGAGAAGATATGAAGTTAAAATCAAGCCTGAATTATTATAGAAAATTCAAAACTAGCTTGAAAATTGAGAAATATCTTCAGTCAATAAATAACTTTAAAGGAGCACAGCTAAAATTCAGAGCAAGATCATGTACTCTTGGGTTAGCATATGAAAAAAGAAAATGGAAAAATAATAGTGAAGATGACATAATTTATCCATGTTGTGAAAAAGACGAAGAAACTCTTGAACATTTTATTTTGCAATGTCCAAGTTTTAAAATAAAAAGGGTCAACTTAATTTGTGAAATAAAAGAAATGTTATTGAAGATGAAAGAAACAAATTTATCTGATAACTTCCAGCAACTGAATAACGAAGAGTTATTATGCTTCCTTCTGGGAGATACCACTCTAGGTTATAACAAAGAAATATGTTACACCATAGACAAACTTATGAAAGAATTTTTAGTTGATGCCATGGATGTAAGAACAACATTTTAAAACTAATAAGTAGATTGTAATGTTATTTTTATTGTACTAATATTAATTTTGTTATATGTTATTTTTCTTGATTTATAACAGTATTTCTTGTACTTATTTTATGAAATGTATCTTTAATTTTGCAGATCCTGTAAAATCAACAAATAAATAATACTATAAAAGTAAATCAAAAACTAAATTTTGCCCATAAATAAATTCTCATCGGTACAATAAAAAGTCTCCTGACGCAATTACTGGCAGTGCTAAAGAATTGATACTGCAGGATGTTATTCTTAGAGACACGATGTCACCAGCATTGTAAACCTCATTCCAAAGAAAATTTGAATGGCAATGAATCTGCGAGAGGCCATCTTTATTTTGAAAGGAAAAAGTGAATGCCTAAATATTTTACGTATACTGTATATAATATAATAAAACAAGCACAATGAACAGATGCACAAACTACAACTAAGTTTAAGCTATCCAATAAATGAAAAAAAACACATTGATCTTTCTAAAACACATGTCGAATAGAACGGGCCAACCGATCAAGGTTGTTAGAAGTGTTCGAAGTTGCAATCCCTGACAGAGTACCTCAAATTTAAGTGCGATATATATATTCACGAATAATCTTGTCAATATGCTATTATAGAAAGACTTGACGGCTAAAGAATTGTGTTGAGCTTCTAAATTTATATAAAGTATCAAAATACATTGTATATGGTCCTTTTCGGTTGTAAAAAGTAGAATATGTAGGGAACAATGAATCGATCATTTCAACGAAATGCTCTGCTATGAAGAGACTATACTTTGCAGGAAGCTGTCTGAGCACTGGTGGTAATTCACACCTTAGAAGATAGCCGTTTCCGGACCAGGGATAGAGGGACTGTGATATCAGTAATGCTTCACTGATAGCAAGTTCAATAATTCTTAATATTTACCGAGATTTCGTTCATACACACTTCAGCAGTCTATCAAACATTAACATTTTATTAATATTCTATTATTCATAACATCGTAACTGCACAACTTTGATAAAACGCTGAATCCGCTATATGCAGTTTCCAAAGAAAAATACCATTACGTCAGCATTCTACGAATATTCACAGCTATGATTATAGTAACAATGGGATTATATAACGCCGTAATTCATAAAATCGTAACTACAGTATACAACTTTGAAAGTTTGATAAAACGCTGGGTCGGCGGTACACGGTTTCCAAAGTATAAAATATACCATTATGCCCACATTCTACAAATATTCACAGCTATAATTATAGTAACAATGGGATCATATAATGTCATAATTCATAACATCCTGACTACGCAATGATTCTTTTTTCTGGAGATACCCGTCAAACCACCGAGGTCTAACTGCGCGTGAATATAATTAAGACGCTTTCGTTGACTTGGACCACTGGCACTAACACATGACAGGAATTTTGGCTCCCTGAACTTTGAATCAATTTCTATTATTTTTTCAAACACTAACGTTTGGCAGTTACATTTTCTAGTTGAACCTGCTTGTATTCAGACAGAAAAAATTATGTTTCCGGGTGAAATAATTAAAAGCTAATTAATTAAATCGGCAGAGCTTCCCCACTGGTTTGATTTTGATAACCTCCCCTAGTCAGTTTGACAGTTTCGAAAAATTTTTAATAAATAATGTTATACAATTTCTACTGCTCTTGTCAGTTACCGAGTTTCTTCCTTTATCAAAATTTATCTGAGTAATATTGTTAACGAATTGCTATCAAAGTATACGCATAAAATATGGCTCGTTTTGTTTTGTCACCGGCCATTTTCGGGAACTCGCATTAAAAAAAATAATCTTCACATTACCACTACCAATTCTATACAAATGAGCTGGTAAGTGTATAATATAAATTTTATGTTGTTTCTGACCCATGCACAGCTTTCCTTTTCTGCTGCGGGAGACTGTAAAGGTCATCTGAATGTGAAAGTTGCGTGCTGCCATAACAACACCATTAAATTAATTAATTAAAAAAGTGGAGTGATGTTTTTGCTGTAAAGCTAATGTATTGCTTATAGTTACAATAAATTGGTGTTTTCGCCATGCGAGTGATAAAAAGGGATAGTGTCAAAGTTTGTTTGAAGAAAATAATTATAGACAGAAAAAAAATTAGCAGATGCCAGCTGCAACTATAACCATTTGGTTAGATACTGATTTCATTGACAGTGGAATAATGTGTGACAACATCTGAAAATTTTTAATTTTTCTATAGCACGCTCTATGTGAATTCTAAGTCAAGCGATTCTCCTAGCCTCTAGTATTTCGTTCACATTAAGTCTTTTTCCCTTATCAATATCACATTTTCTTGTAAATGGTGGAATAACAAGCCTTGCCCTGCGCTTGAAGAGTAGTAAAACCCCCAGTCAGTCATGATTGTATCACCTGGTTTGACAAGATTGAGAAAACCCACTGTCCAATGCATTGCCACCCCACAATTTTGACACAAATGTGATTATACCATCGGGACTCGCGCTAATCAAACATTTATATGTGTTATGTAACATATAATTACTATAAGTCACGAATTGTGCTGTCGGGGTTGTAGGTTTCTGAATGAAAAATTCAGTACAGTCAATAAAATTCTCTGAATGAAAATGGCATGTTGATATCTATTTGAGTTGGCCAGGGAAGACATTGGAATACAGCCACCATATATGTTATCTAAATAGTAAAAATTTGAGAGACACATGTCGACGAGACACCAAATAAATCTCCGACAAAAATGCCAGCAACCCTAGTCGTAAACGCATCAGCATTTAAATATATTCGTCATATCACTCTAATTTTCATTTAGGTCCGGGCTTTTTCTTTTCATTTTCACTTTGATATTTTTATCAACTTTATTTTTATCGACTTTGTCGAGCGGAGCTTATTCATATGAGTGATTGTTCGTCGTCGTCCCTCGTCGTCCGTGTCAATGTTTTACTTTTTAGCTCCGCTGTCGACTTTGTCAAGCGAAGCTTATCATATGAGTGATTGTCCGTCGTCGTCCGTGTCAATGTTTTACTTTTTCGACTTTTTCTTGAAAACTACAAGCCTAAATGCTTTAATACTTGGTGTATATGTACCTTGGGTAGACCTCTCTTAGATTTGTTCATTTTGTAATGATATCTTCAATTCTCTAATTTTGGTGAATATTTTTGTCATTTTTGGTAAAAAGTAATATTTTCGACTTCCTGTTGAAAACCGCAAGTCCAATCGCTTTGATATTACATATATAGGTACTACATGTGGACCTCTCTCAGATTTGTTCATTTTGTAATGATATCTTTAATTCTCTAATTTTGGTGAATATTTTTGTCATTTTTGGTAAAAAGTGATATTTTCGACTTCTTGTTAAAAACCACAAGTCTGATTGCTTTGATATTACATATATAGATACTACATGTGGACATCTCTCAGATTTGTTCATTTTGCGATGATATCTCCAACTACTAAACCCAGGTTCCAAAAACAAGGTGCGCTGGTACACTACTAACATTTTAATCGGTACATACATGTACAGGACCAAAGTACCCCTAAGGAGAAGCCTCTGGAAATGCACAAAAATACATTGTCTGAAATCTACAAGACAAAAACACAGCAATTACACACAAAGTATGGCATGACTCAAAATTGTCACTGAAGACACTTAAAACAAATTACAAACTGGCAAAAGACTCAAATTTAAAATAAGTATAAGGCAGCTAGTGATTGAAATGCTGAAACAAAAACAAAATGCCAAGGGTGGGTATGGTGGGGAGCAGAAATGCCGGGGTTTCTTCAAGAGCAGCAACGAAAAGTGATGCTACTTACTTTGCAAAATATTTGAAGTTATCTTTGCAAGGGCACCACTCTGACCACTGCAATAGATTGATAACTCAATGGGAAACAGAACGACTGAACAGATCCAATGGAAATTTCAAGACACGTTTTAATGACACCAAACATAAAAATCATAGAAGCGGTCGTGGTGCGGTGATGTTTTCCTAGTAGGTTCAGATTGACAACACATATGTTTATTCAAGATACTAGTATCTAAATCATAACACCAGTGCATTGTCTTTTTTTCTCCCAGCTCAACAACATTGTGCCATGTAAAGAAACAATACAAGCATGACACCAAAATTGTTTTCAGTCATGTTTCTTTTATACTAAGTATTTGAAGGCACTGTTCCGTTTGGCTCTGATCGAACTGAATTGAACTGTGGTAGATCTCGGTTCTTGTACGACCTGACTCGATGTGTGAATGCATTGTAGCAAATGCCTATATTATAAATTACTTGTTAAAACCACAGTCTGATCACTATATTTTTATCTATAGGTGTATGCAATGCCATCAATTATGAAACAAGAAGTGAAGGATCCAAAAGGTGAGTGAAATACAGACACTGTGGTACATGTACCTATTAAAATAGATAGTGTAGGAGGCGATCATTCCCTGAATTCAGTGCATATCGATCAGTCATACATTGTATATAGTGATGAGGCATGGAAGAAAAATGCTTATAGGCTTTTTAAGCTCCGCTGTTGACTTTGTTCACATCGACTTTGTCGAGCGGAGCTTATCATATGAGTGATTGTCCGTCATCGTCCGTGTCAATGTTTTACTTTTTCGACTTCTTCTTGAAAACTACAAGCCTGAATGCTTTGATACTTGGTGTATATGTACCTTGGGTAGACTTCTCTTAGATTTGTTCATTTCATGATGATATCTTCAATTCTCTAATTTTGGTGAATATTTTTGTCATTTTTGGTAAAAAGTGATATTTACGACTTTTTGTTGAAAACCGCAAGTCCAATTG